GTATAATATACGTATATTTGTATAGAAAATATTAATTAATAAAAAATAATAATTAATAGTATAATAATAAGAATTAATAAAAATAATATATATATATATATATATTATTAGTATATATATTATTATAGAGTATACAATCTGTTATAATCGATAAATCTTCGTACGATGTTATCTCGTCGACGGTTCGATGGAAACTGGCGCGTATCAACACCGCGCGCTCTTATATATTTACATTGCGCGATCGTTAATATTTGCGAAGAAACGAACGATTTTCTTAATTTTTCGAGTTTTAAATCGTTTAATAAATTATTTCACATATAAAAAATTTAAATTTGAATTGTAAAATTAACAAAATATTGTTAATAAATTGTAATTTTTTTTAAAAATTATATATAATTATATATTCTCTATTTTTACTTTATGTTTATATTCAAAGAATTCGTTAAAAATTGGTAAATATTACAAAATTCGTTTTAAAAAGAAAAAATGAAATAAGGATGAAATAATAAATAGAAATAAATGTTTACATGTTTATTTTATATCAAAAATATAGCATACAATGATGATTAATATCTTCTTTTGTAAATATGTACATTTTAAATATACATAAAATAATACAAAAAAAATTGATTTTATATCTTTCTATTAATGTAATATGATGTAATGTCATGTCGATTTTGTTAATATTTAACAAACGAATCACTTATTTTGTGTTTCTTATGTAAAACTTGATTTACATATATTATATAACAAATTTGTAATTTTTCGTAAATTACAATATAATATTATATATACGTAATACATAATTAAATTACATTACATACTACGAAATGAGAAGTTGATATAATTATAATTAATTGATGAATTATATATATCTTCAAATACATCTATCAATCATGTCATCTATCAATTATATATCTAGAAATGCTAATTTATAACATTAATTTATCTAATTACACCTATTTGTCTTATATTTAACAATCGCGAATCAAAACACACTTATTTTCTCTGTTTCTTACGAAACCAGGTTTACATTGGCATCCAATAAAACATTTCTGTAAGAAAAAAAAATTGATACAAACGTTAATTATTAGCTCATGTGACAAATCTAAGAATGTTAAAAAATCTTAGTTTAGATTTAGTTTAGACTAACCATATTGCAAACAGGTGAACGAGCTTTTTCGCAGGTATCGATGCATTCTGAGCCGCAACTTGTGAATTCTTCATTAAGGGGACATTCCTCGCTTGTATTCTGCACGCTTCTATCAGGATATGCATCTATATGATCGATCAGAGAGAAAAAAAATATTATTTAAACTATCGTGAAACGAGATAGAAATTAAAATGAAACGATATTTTAAAAATCTAAAAAAACTGTCCATCCATTAATAATACAAGTATAGATTAAATGTTTGAAAGAAAATATTGAAAAGAAAAATGAAAATATGGGAATTTCTAATTTTACTTAAAAATTAACTATAATAAAATTTTAAAATTATTAACATTATTATTTAAAATTCCAATATATTTCAATAAAACGAAAGTAAATAAAAAAAAAGAGATAGAATATTTTAAATAAAAGACGTATATCGTTATGTTACTTACTGCAACAATAAACCATAGCCACGATTAATAAAAGAAAAACTGTTATTCGAGTCATAATAGCAAAATAAGAAACTTTCAGATTTCACTTGAATTTTAGAATTGTACAAGTAGAATTGCCTTTATATCCTCCGATTTTATCTTTCTTGTGATTATTTCGAGAAAAATATTGATATGAGATTGTATATTTTATTTAATCTTTATATGAAATCATTGAAATGAAAAATTGGTTTTAAAAATATTATCTTTAATTTATCTTTTAAAATTATTATTTTATTTTTATTATTTATTTTCTTATTTTATTTTCATTAACATATTATTACTTAGAGTATTTAATTTAATTCTTTAATTTTAAAATTAAACATTTTTTTTTTAAACAAGTTATTAAGAAAATAATTAAAATAATCTAATCGAATTATTATAATATTGCCGCCGACTGAACAAACAATATACATTGAAGGAAGTTTATATTGAAAATAAACAATGTCTATATCATACTTTTACTTCACTACTATTATTTAAAGGAAGGATTATCGAGATTATTGGGACATTTATTATTGGGATACAAAACGAAATTTCAATCTATATATATATAGAATAACAATTTCATTCGAATCGGTTATTTATCTCGGCTATTATATTTCATATTTATCGCATAATTTCGAAAGAAAATAATCGAAAGAAAACATCCAGATGCTATATCTCTTTATTTGCATAATTTGTTATTCGACGAGATTAATCAATCGACAAAACAATCGTGAATACGTTGACTTCGAGTTGAGAAAATCTTGAGGATCGATGTTACATTTTTTTCTTTCTCTTTTAACAAATTATATATCTTTTTTGACAAAGTCGATTCGCAACCTTTGTTTCTCGTATCGTAATTTCGAATAATTTAATTTAATCTTTTTCAAAATCATCGAACAATTTGATCGAACACAAATTTGGTACTGGAATTAAAAAAAAAAAATCGCATCATCTAATACCAATGTAATCACAGATTAATAACAAATTATTCCTATACAACAACAAATTCGCAATAAAAATATCGCTTAAGAATCATTGATTTATATTATTCGACTAATTTAATCGACATTACGTAATTCAAAGCATTAAAACTATGAATTTGGTAGCTTTACAGAAGAAAAGTTTATGTTGTACAAATATCGGAAATTGTTATTAGATGTGTTATAATCGTGACTTTGTCTTTTAAGATTAATCTTCTTAAACAGAAAATGATTATAAAGTATCTTCGATACTTTTAAATTTTTTTTCAAAAGCAAATACATTGTACAATTTGTACAGAATTCGAAATACATATGAATGTAATTATAACTATATTATAACTATATGTAATTATAACTAACTATATGTAATTATAACTATATTATAACTATATGTAATTATAACTAATTAGATAGATAATAAACTATTTGATAAGGTAAAAATACAATTAACTTGTTTCTTCTTTTGATGTATTTGAAATTATTGGATTAATTTTACCAATATTTATCGAAGCTATAGAGCAAAACGTTTATTATATCTCTGACTCTATTCCATAAAGAAGACCATATGAAGATCATAACTATAGTCCATAATTCGACGATCGATCATCGATATTTTTCCTTTGAAACGAGAACTTTTTTTTACATAATAAACATAAATAATATTTTCATAATTAAAATTTTCACGTAAACGATGAATAATTATTGCAATCGAGTCGAAATGAGATACAAAACAGAGTGAGAAGGAGATACAAAGATAATATATCGATCGCAAAAGTCATCGAGCAATAAAGTGAACGATATCTTATCGTCTAGCAGACATCGGTCACTCAAGAAATAGAAAATGACTTAATAACAAATATAGATACGTACGAAAGAATGAACGTAGTAGATCAACGAGAGGAAGAAGCTGAGGTCGAGTAAAGGGACGTTCACATCGAGCAAATTTTCATCCGAACGATCGAGAGTGGTTCCTTCGATTTATTTTGACATTTTATTTAGGTTTATTTATTTTACGTATTTTTAGGTATTTTTAGCTTTATCGCGAATGAGAAAGAAAAAAAAGATGATCGATTCGGTTGTTCGAGAAAAATTTGTCTTGGTGCAAGCGTGGCGTAACATCACTATATAAAGCTGAGAAGTTCGATATGTTAATCATAGTAGTTTCAGTCGTTGGTCGTTCGAAAAAGTCTCGAAATCAAATATGTCTCGAATCATCTTCATTTTGCTCGTCGCTATGGCGATTTTCTCCAGTAAGT